TGTTATCTTAGGTCTACTAACATCTGTGTAGAAAGGAAGGGACGCAATAGCTTGGTGGTATGATTGCTCAACTATTATTCCAGAAACTCCAATAACATTCTGGGGTCCAGTGTTTGAATTCCACCATGGCAGATGGTGGAATCTGAATTCAACAAAAAATATCTGGAATTAAGAATCTACTCATAACCATGAAACCATTGTTGGTGGTCAGGAAAACCCATCTGGCTCCCTTATGTACTTCAGGGAAAGAAGTCTGCCATCCTCACCTCGTCTGGCCTATATGTGACTCCAGACCCACAGCAATGTGATTGACTCTCATGTGCCCTCTGAAATGGCCGAGCAGTGGCCTCAGTTATATCAATCATCATCAAGTCTCAACAAAGAAATGAAACAGGGTGAACCACCTGGCATCAACCTAGGTGCCAAAAATGATAATGGCAAAAACAGCTCTGTCAACCCTGCAAAATCCTCGCTAAATTCTGGGTGCTAGTGCCAAAATTAGTACAGCTGTCTCACAGACTACTCAAGCAACTGCCTGACCTAGTCATACTCACAGAATCTTACTTTACAATGTCCCAGACACCACTATCACTGTACCTGGATGTGTCCTATCCTGTCCTAACCAGCAGGACAGACGCAGAGGTGGTGGCAGTGGTATACAGTCTGAAGGGGATTGCCCTGTGATTCCTGAACATTGACTCTGGACCCCACGAAGTCTCATGCCCTCAGGTTAAACATAGGCATGAAAGTCTGCTGATTGTTATGTACCATCCTCCCTTAGCTGATGAGTCAGTAGGTCTCCATGTTGAACAACATTTGGACGAAGCACTGAGGGTAGCAAGGGCATAGAATGTACTCTGGTTGGGGGATTTCAATGTCCACCACTAACAGCAGCTTGGCAGCAGCATTGCTGATCGAACTGGTCAGGTCCTAAAAGGAAGTAGCTGCTAGACTGGGTCTGCAACAGGTGGCGAGGGAACCAACAACAGGGTAACATATATTTGATCTCATTCCTACCAAATCGGTCAGCTGCACGTGCACCTATCCATGTCAGCATTGGCAAGAGTGACCACCATACAGTCCTTGAGAGACCAATTCCTTCCTCCACATTGAGAATACCCTCCATCATGTTGTGTGGCACAATCACCATGCTAAGTGGAAGAGACTTCAAACAGATCAAACAACTCAAGAGTGGGCATCCATGAGGCACTGCAGGTTATCAGCAGAATTGCTCTCTAACACAATTAGCAACCTCTTGGCTCAGTGCAATCCTCATGCAACAATTACCATCAAGCCAGGGGATCAACTCTGGTTCAACGAAGAGTACAGGAAGATAATTCAGGAGCAGCACTAGGTATATCTAAAAACAAGGTGTCAACTGGTAAAGCTACCAAACAGGACTACTGGATGCCAAACAGCATAAGCAACAAGTGATAGAGCTAAGTGATCCACACTTCAGACCACCATGGGTATTTCACTGTCTATACTGGAAAAAAGGCTTACACAATCACCCACACAATGGGCCATATCATTTGAAGCTTGTTCTTTTGCCTTCACCAAATGCACCCTTAATCTACTCACTAAAATGATGAGCAAAAGGCCCAGCAGCAAGTTCCTTTCCTATTAGAAGGCTTTGCATGGTCAAGAGAGATCACATACAAAGTGAGATTCGGCCCGAGTGAGCATGTGGTTTGAGGAATTTGGGGGCAGCGTGGGAATAGAACTGGTAAATATTTCTTTGCTTTCTCCATTTTAGAAGTTTAAAATTCAGTAGTCTATTGAAAAGGCTATGGAAGTTGCGTGCAGGCCTCCTAGCAGTAGACAGAATGTGGGGAAGAAAATAAACCAGGAAATAGAAAAAGTATTAAGAGAAGTACTATTACAATAATCATGGAGGACTTCAGTATGCAGGTGGGTGGGAAAATTAGGTTGGTAGCAGATCTCAAGAAAAGGAGCAGGCAATTCTGGATGTGTAATGAGGCAGACTTATTTAGGGAGCTTAAGGTGCAGGAACTTCTGGGGGCAGTGACCATAATATGATAGAATTCAAACTGTAGTTTGAGAGGGAGAAGCCCTAAGCAGATGTAATGGTATTACAATTAAGTAAAGGTTACTGCAAAGACATGAGGGAGGAGCTGGCTAGAGTTGAATGGAAAGGGAGTGTAGCTGTGAAGACAGCGGAGCAGCAATGGCAGGAGTGTCTGGGGGTAATTCAGGAAGCACAGCAGAAATTCATCCTGACGAAGCAGAAACATACCAAGGCGAGGATGAGGCAACCATGGCTGACAAGGGCTGTCAGATACAGCATAAACTCAAATCAAAAAGTGTGCAATGTGGTAAAAATTAGTGTGAAGCCACAGGATTAGGAAGCATTTAAAAACCAGCAGAGGATAACTTGAAAAAAAAGAAGGGGAGGGTGTGGAAAAGAAAGATGAGTAAAATAGCTAGTAATATAAAAGAAGAGTTATTTTTAGATATATAAAAAGGTAAGAGAGGCAAGAGTGGACATTGTACCACTGGAAAATGAATCTGGAGAAGTTATAATGAAGAATAAAGATATGGCAAGGAACTGAATAGGTACTTTGTATCAGTTTTCACAGTGGAAGATACCAGCAGCATACCTGGGGCAGAGGTGAGTGTAGTGGCTATCATTGAGGAAGTGGTGCCTTGGAAGGTGGAAGGTCTGAAAGTGGATAAATCACTTGGTCCAGATGTGCTACACCCCAGAGTTCTAAAGCAGATAGCTGAGGAGATTGTACAGACATTGGTGATTTGGATTTAGATTTTATTTTCACGTGTACTCCAGCACAGGAATTCAGTGAAAAGTGTACAAAGTCACCATTTTAGTAAACAAAAGTCAAGATTAAAAACAGAAAAGACAAATAAAAGAATTAGGCAAAAGAAAAGGAAACATCCAGATCACTTCGGCGCCTCCATAAATCCTCGCAGCCAGAAAAATAAAGCCCCCAGAGACCCCGCATGCCACCCCAGCCAGAATGCCACCACCTCCACTGTCACGAACTCAGGCCCAGCCACAGCCTGGAGCCGCACTACCACTGCTGGAACCATATCGCCATTCTTTGGTACCATCTTGCCTCTACTGACATTGTTGCTGCCATGAGTCCACTGAAGCTGCCAGGTCCCAAACTAGGCTCAAACATGACCCTGGGTCCAGCATGCCGAAGTAGACGGTGCCTTGCTCTGGTTTATGTGGTTGCCACTGCCCACTTCTGGGACCACCATTTTAGCAAAGGAACCTGTTACTGCTGACACTCTGGAAGAGGACCACTCCTGCCAATGCTGACACTCCAGGAAGGGGACTGATGCCAACAAAAGAAAAAGGAAAAAGAAAGAAAGAGACAGAAAAGTAAAAAAGAGAGGGAAAAAAACAGACAGAAGTGGACGAGTCCCAGGCTCAGATTCTG